AAAGAGGGATGGGAGAGAGTGGAGAAAACATCAGCAATAATCCCTCAAGTTTCAAAGACCTACCCATTCCTAGTAGGACCCAAGATAGGACCAAAACACCCAGGATGGGAACTTGAAACTAGGCCGATGACTGAGACCCCTCAATGTGGTGATCCCAGGCAAGTCATGAACAGATTAAAGGGTTGAGAAAGTGACAGGAAGCCAACTTACAAGTTATCAGTGTGAATAAACAGAATATTCTGGAAAATGGGAGCTAATGGGCACCCAAGGTTTATTCCCGATGTGGTAGTTAACACAGTGGTTAGCCAAATCATTCAAGTACCGCTCAGTGGTGGTACTGATTCAGCCAAGGCTTCCTTGTTCATTTTCACAGGTCCATGTGATAGTTCTTTAAGAATCCTTATGCAAACTAAGTTTTTAAGCTACATCAAGATTTACACAAACCAGAATATAAATGAAATTCCTTTATGATTAAACTTTAAGATTTAGGTACTAGCATCCTGAATGTTTAAAATATAATTTCCACCATAAATAAAAGACATATCTTGTTATTTTTAAAGAGAGATTTTTGCTAAAGAGCACGTACACTCACCAGAGACAGAGAGACAGTGAGAAATCACCCCCCAAGGGGGATGGCCACGCTGCAATCCCTTCTCCTCCATTCTCCTCTGGGATTTTGGGCACGCACACTCATGCAACCAGTATGAGGTTTTTTTGGTTTTTTTTTAATTATTATTTTATTTTATTTTTATTATTTTTTAACTTGACCAGGGAGCAACAGAGAGAGAGAAAAGTGAGAAAGCAAGCTGTGAGGCCTTGAACCCGTGGTTGACCATGTGTGAGTTAAGTGTCTCTAACCACCACATCACCTGCCGGCCCCACTGAGCATGAGTTTTAAGCCACCAGGTCCAGGACTCGAACTGCAGTCAACTACATGGGAGTTCAGCGACGTAAGCATTACGCCATCTGCTGGTCCCTATATCTATGACTTTTAATAGGCAATAACGGAAAGTAACTTATTCATTTAGAGGTAATAAAACTGTTATTGCAATTTTTTAACAAACATCAAGAAAAATTATGTCTTAAATGAATACAAAACACATGGGAACCAGCAGTTAGCGTAATGGCTATGTCGCTGGACTCCCACGTAGTCGACCGCGGTTCGTGTCCCGGACCCAGTGGCTTAAAACTCACGCCGAGCGCGTGTGCGTGCATGCCCAAGATCCCGAGAGGAGAATGGAGGAGAAGGGATTGCGGCGTGACCATCTCCCCTGGGGGGTGATTTCTCACTTTCTGTCTCTATGTCTCTCTCTGTCTGTCTGGCGAGCGCACACGCCCTACAGTGAAAATCTCTCAAAAAAAAAAAAAAATGAATACAAATACATACAGCCAGAAGAATTTTCTTACCTGTAATACAAATTTTTGATCTATGTATTTTTTGGCAATGCTGGGTTGAAATTCTTGGCTTTCCAAAAACCGTATGAAAAATTCATATACAAGCTGAAACAAATAAATTATAGTTTATTTCAATTTAGGACTCACTGACGATAGTATTAAAAACCATGACATGCCTATAACACTGTAACTGACAGGGCATAAAATATCAGGTTTTAATATCATCAACAACCCATGCCATCTCCATTCTTGTGGCTAACAGTTGCTGTTATGTTTTTAAGTTTTAAAATTAAAACTTAGAAAATCTAACCAAACAAAACAAAAGTCCCCCAAAATCTTTCCATTCAGAGATAACCATTATTAATATTTTTATGTACAGACTTCCCTCTACAAAATACCAATGTAACATAAATATATTTTTAGTTTTACATGCTAATTTTACCATTAAAACAATATACTGTTAACCATTTACATCAACAATATCTAAACCATCACTCTTAGTAGCTGTAAGTAGTCTATTATCCGTAATGTATAATAATCCCATTTTTCATAATTAATTTAACCAACCTCCTACACTTAGACATTTAAGTAGTTTCTGAATTATTTATCAAATTATGCCATAATATGCATCATATAACATACATCAGTGTGCACCTATATAATTATTTTGTAAGGAACTATTCCTAAAAGCAAATTTACAAAATCTTAAGATACACATAGGACTAGGCCAGGCTCCATAGCACAGTGGATAAGACATGCAGGCCCGGGTCAGCTAGGAGCATAGTCATTAAGATGGCTGATCTCACATGGCTGACTGCACTGTTCAAACTGCAGACCCAGAAGCTTGAAAAAAGTATTGGGTGCTTGTGCATACATACCCCAAATCCCAAAATCATGAAAGGAGAGAGAAATGAAAGAAAAGGGATTATAGTGTAGCCTTCCCTTTAGAGGGAGTGCTTTCTCACTCTCCCACACACACACCACTCAGTCATGCACCCTCTGGCAGAGGTGGCACAGGCAGTAGGAGCACTGCCACAAGATACTGCAGGTCCTGTGGAAAGACTCCAGATATGTGTGCTCTTACAAATTACAGGCTAGGGAGAGGATCCCAGGATGAAGACCCTGGACACCTCTCCCTCCCTCTGTCAGGAAATAAATACACTTAAAATATATAATAAAAGTATACAAGCAATTTAATGTTCACTCCCAAATTTCCTTTTAGCAATCTACACTCCTCCAATCTATATATGGCGGTATGGAACAAAAGTCGCATCTACAGAGTAGGCTTCAAATAACTGTTCTGATAAATAGCAGGGGATCTTTGTTTACATTCTCTGCATTGAAAAAGGCTATGTTTGGGACCAGTAGATGGCAACATAATGGCTACATTGCTGTTTGAGTTCTAGACCCAATGGCTTAAAACTCAGGCCAAGTCAAGCCCAAAATCCTGAGAGAAGAATGGAGGAGAAGGAACTGTAGTGTGGCCATCCCCCCAGGAGATGATTTCTCACTTTCTGTCTGTCTCCCTCTCTGGAGAGCCCATGTTCATTATAGCAAAAAATCTCTCTCTTTAATAAAAAAAAAAAAAAGGCTATGTTATAGGCTCCATTATATTAGTTCCTGGTACAGTATATAAACGGCAGCATGTCAAAGTCAAAACTTTTAAGGGTCAGATGCTAAGTCAAAAGCCCTAGCTCTTTATCCTACTTACTGTGTAACCCTGAGCAAGTTTATTTCTCTAAAATGCTGTTTCTTCAGCTTTATAACGGGGATGATAATCCCTAAGAGCAAATGTCATACTACACATAAAGCCCTCTGCACAATGACTAACACCAGGATCACTGATCCCCAAAACAGCAGTCACAGACTTTCTGGTCTCACATCTTTACATTTCAAAATTATTAGGAACTCTCCTAAAAAAAACTTTTGTATGAGCTACATATGATATATATTAAAAGAGAAGTTAAAACTGGGGATCAGCAGGTGGTGTGGTGGATAAGGCGCTGGACACTCCCACATGGCCAGCCATTGATCAAGTCCTGGGGCTCTCTCTCTCTCTTTCTCTCTCTCTCTCTCTCTCTCTCTCTCTCTCTCTCTCTCTCTCTCTCTCTCTGTGTGTGTGTGTGTGTGTGTGTGTGTGTCTCACTGGTCAAATTAAAATGAATGAATGTGGGACCAGCAGTTAAGAGTAATGGCTATGTCACTGGACTCCCACGTAGTCGACCATGGTTCGTGTCCCGGACCCGGTGGCTTAAACTCACACCAGGAGCGCGTGCGTGCGTGCACAAGATCCCGAGAGGAGAATGGAGAAGGGATTGCAGCGTGGCCATCCCCCCTGGGGGGTGATTTCTCGCTTTCTGTCTCTCTGGCGAGCGCACGCGCCCTATAGCGAAAACCTCTCAAAAAAAAGAAGAAAAAAAAAATAAAATGAATGAATAAATAAAATTAAATAATACTTTAAAAAAAGTTAAAACAGATCATTTAAAATATGCATTACTTCACTTTAAAACAATGAAATGTATTACATGTTAATATACATATTTTTTGTAAAATTATAACTTTATTTTCCTAAATAAATACTGAGAGGTATCTCTTCCCCCCAATTAAAAAATAAAGTGTGCTACAGAGTGTGTGTGTGTGTGTGTGTGTGTGTGTGTGTACTAGAGCAAGAGAGAGAAAGTGAGAAAGTCGCCTCTATTGAGGATGACCAGCTGCAATCACTTCTCCATTCTCCTCTAGGGATTTTGGGCATGCATGCCCACACATCAGGTGTGTTTTTTGTTACCAGTAAGGGACTCAAACAGTGCAGTTGGCTATATGGGATTCAGCCACCTTAATCACCACACCGCTGGCTGGCCTGAGAAGCACTGTTTTTTGTTTTTGTAAATCTGTAACAGATTCTTACCAGCTTCTATATTCAACTTATTGTAACATATAGTTTTCATTAAAATAAAGAAAATGAAGGCTCACACAGACCTAGAAATTTAAAAAGTGAGAGTATTCTAAGTCCTTTCACAAAACTGTGGCTATTCCCCTTTGATACTATACCTAAATTCAACAAGCTGTCAATTCTTAGCTATAATGTAGAATCTGAAACCATCTTAATTAACTTTTTTATACTTTGTTACACTAAAATCCATTTGTCTGCCTTAGATTTTGTATAGCTCTTCTTCCATGGATGACTTACTGACATAATTTGGTAAGTAGAAAATACTGGTTCACAAGTTACACAGATCTTTCAAACGTTGAAATAGTACATTACATAGTGTCTTTAAAAATCACATTCTTCCAAATTCTCTAATTTTATCCCCAAAAAGTGAGTAATCTTTGGGAAGCTAAAAAGCTCAAGGTGACAAGACATAAAATTTAGAATTTTCTAAAATTCTAATTCTAAATTCGGCTTAAATGCTGTCATATTAGCAGTGTCGACAAATACTGTCAGTTTGTTTTAGAGAAAATATCCACCCAATACCCAAATCTGGATGACCAAGGTTTGTTAGTGTTCCTTCAAGTAAAAATGATACTTCAAGACAAAACAGCCAGTTTAGCCTGCCAGTTCGAAAACAATCACACAAGCGTTTTTCCATAAGATAATTATCTGATCTCGGTATCCAGCAGACACAACCTATGCATATTTCCTAGTTTGTCAGGCAGATTACCTTTAAAACTATGTTCTCAAAGATTGGAACTTAATAAAATTAGTAACTTTTACTACTTCAAGGATGTCCTCAAGGGAAACTTCAATAGCACAGCAGTGAAGACTACGCTGGCCCAATCTGGCACGTTTGCTCTGTGCTTTGGCAAGAGCAGCTTTAACCACCATTGTTTGTACAACAAATAGCACAAATGTGAATGCAGTGGGCAAATAAGGTAGTATAATTATTAAAAGCAGCTTTGACCTTTTAGTTTACTGAAAATTAGGTCTCCGGGCATTCTGAGGGTCAGCAGACACCAATGACTTAAATGTTTCCTATAGTAACTTTGTGGCTTCAGGTTCTAACTTTATACTCTAATTAGGTATTCACATTAGCATTTTACTTCTATAGGTGAAACTATAATTTTCTCTTTGAAACTTCTGAATTGAGAAAAACTTTTCTCCCAATGATCTGGCCAAGTTTTACACATTGCTCTTTCAGTCAAAATAATGCCTGAATCTTAATACCTCACAGACAGGTTCTTTTTTTCAATATGTCAGTGTTCCCACTCTTCATTTTACAAAGAGAACATCAGCCTTATTCAAATGATCTCACTGAAGTGGGTTTCAGTTATCTTTTGATTCCCACAAAGTAAAGAGGTTCTCATCTTCTGGGCCTGACTTTACAGCAAGAGTAGCAAAGTGCTCTACAACCCTCTGGTCCCTTGAAAGCAGTCATAAAATAGTGTGGTTTTAAAAAAAAACAAAAAAAAACTTTAGCTATCAATACATTTATTAAGCACAAATGTTTTCTGCACTGAGATGGTTTTCCCCTCAAAATCAAGTCTCTGTTGAATTTCTAATGGGAGAGACTGGGGGCTGTGGAGGATAAATTACTTTTTAAGGTCACATAAATGAACACTCCAAGGAGCCTAAGTAAAAACATTTTAGCATTCCTATTTTCTAGGCTCAAGTGTAAAGCATTACAATATTTCTTAGGCCCAGCCTGGTGGCAAAGACAGTAACATACTAAACAGGAGTACTGGAAGCCATATGGATGATCACAGGTTCAGATCCCATACTGGCCAACCTGAAACATACCCGTTATGGGTGCACAAGCTCAAAATCTCGACAGCAAGGGAAAAGATCAAAACGTGATGAGACTGTCGAGGGTACTCTTCTCCCACTTTACACATGTGTGTGCAAGCACACACACTACCATAAATAAAATAACTGTTTAAAAATTCTTGATTATTAATAGAATTTCTACACAAATTGTACTCTACTCAGAAGACAGAACTAATTTTAAGAAATAAACAAATGACCTTGGTAACTGTGCGATACCAGTCTAAAAGATACCAAATACAGACAACAGAAAAATTCAACAACACACATATAATAGACCCATTGACCTATTTGAACTAAAAATCTGTGACTTCAATATTCTTTTATCTTTTTTTTAAATATCCCCAGAGATTCACGGTTTGTTATAAATGGTGATTTTGTGTGGCCACAAATATAACTCAAAGTAATATACAAAAGCCGCCAGCCAACAACGCAGCCACCACAACTCAAGGTATTTTGTTGTTCTCTCCAACTGTCATGTACTTACATTTTGCTTCCTTGTAAAATGTGGCCTAGAAGAGTAAGCACACTGCTAATTATGGTGTTAAGAAAAGGGGAAAAGGTCTAAGACTGGGCTATGCTTGGTTAAAGAAATAAATGGTTAGGTCAATTAAAAAGTAAAATGTTGGATTTAGTGATGGGTAACTATGACACGAATGATCTATCAGAATAGAAAAAGAGATTTCTTAAATGTTCAACAAATGCTCTTGTCAGTACTAAAACTACCTATCCATCAAAATGGAGAGGTGACTAATTTGTGAAGTAAGAATATACCAAGGAAACAGGATTCTTGAGGCAAATCAGGTGCTTCCACAAAGACATCCACAGAGCAACAAGTGGAGAATTCAACAACAGGCCCTCCTGGCCGGACTTTAACTATCGGTGAAGGTTGGTTCATACATTTTAAGCTATTCTTTTACCTGTTTCAACATTAGTTGGTTAAATTTTCCCCGGGCTAAAAAAGGGACAAGAAAGATTACAGGCTTGAGCAAGATGTCAAAACAGATGAAACCAGCTGGTTCAATAATAGTTTATGACCTTGTATCCTCATGGGTGCAAACTCTCTTTATCATTCTTCACTACTGCTTTGGTTTTAGGGTGTCAGATGAACGAATGGGTTAATACTCTTACAGTAATAACAGCATGAGCTAGAGTTTTGGGGTGAAGGAATTTAGTATATTAGTTTCAGAAATTAATTTGGTCCTATATTTTATAGAGTTGTTAAATGAAGAAAGGATGAACTGAGATATTAAGTTAAACTTTTTATCTACAGTATCAAGATTTAGTATATCAAAAAAGCTCTTGCAAATGACAAGAGTAGTCTTTTCTCAGGGATGTGGAGAAGATAACAAGTTGAAGCTTTAACCATATCTCTTTCAATACATTTATTAAGCACAAATGTTTTCTGCACTGAGATGGTTTTCCCCTCAAAATCAAGTCTCTGTTGAATTTCTAATGGGAGAGACTGGGGGCTGTGGAGGATAAATTACTTTTTAAGGTCACATAAATGAACACTCCAAGGAGCCTAAGTAAAAACATTTTAGCATTCCTATTTTCTAGGCTCAAGTGTAAAGCATTACAATATTTCTTAGGCCCAGCCTGGTGGCAAAGACAGTAACATACTAAACAGGAGTACTGGAAGCCATATGGATGATCACAGGTTCAGATCCCATACTGGCCAACCTGAAACATACCCGTTATGGGTGCACAAGCTCAAAATCTCGACAGCAAGGGAAAAGATCAAAACGTGATGAGACTGTCGAGGGTACTCTTCTCCCACTTTACACATGTGTGTGCAAGCACACACACTACCATAAATAAAATAACTGTTTAAAAATTCTTGATTATTAATAGAATTTCTACACAAATTGTACTCTACTCAGAAGACAGAACTAATTTTAAGAAATAAACAAATGACCTTGGTAACTGTGCGATACCAGTCTAAAAGATACCAAATACAGACAACAGAAAAATTCAACAACACACATATAATAGACCCATTGACCTATTTGAACTAAAAATCTGTGACTTCAATATTCTTTTATCTTTTTTTTAAATATCCCCAGAGATTCACGGTTTGTTATAAATGGTGATTTTGTGTGGCCACAAATATAACTCAAAGTAATATACAAAAGCCGCCAGCCAACAACGCAGCCACCACAACTCAAGGTATTTTGTTGTTCTCTCCAACTGTCATGTACTTACATTTTGCTTCCTTGTAAAATGTGGCCTAGAAGAGTAAGCACACTGCTAATTATGGTGTTAAGAAAAGGGGAAAAGGTCTAAGACTGGGCTATGCTTGGTTAAAGAAATAAATGGTTAGGTCAATTAAAAAGTAAAATGTTGGATTTAGTGATGGGTAACTATGACACGAATGATCTATCAGAATAGAAAAAGAGATTTCTTAAATGTTCAACAAATGCTCTTGTCAGTACTAAAACTACCTATCCATCAAAATGGAGAGGTGACTAATTTGTGAAGTAAGAATATACCAAGGAAACAGGATTCTTGAGGCAAATCAGGTGCTTCCACAAAGACATCCACAGAGCAACAAGTGGAGAATTCAACAACAGGCCCTCCTGGCCGGACTTTAACTATCGGTGAAGGTTGGTTCATACATTTTAAGCTATTCTTTTACCTGTTTCAACATTAGTTGGTTAAATTTTCCCCGGGCTAAAAAAGGGACAAGAAAGATTACAGGCTTGAGCAAGATGTCAAAACAGATGAAACCAGCTGGTTCAATAATAGTTTATGACCTTGTATCCTCATGGGTGCAAACTCTCTTTATCATTCTTCACTACTGGTTTGGTTTTAGGGTGTCAGATGAACGAATGGGTTAATACTCTTACAGTAATAACAGCATGAGCTTTTGGGGTGGGGTGAAGGAATTTAGTATATTAGTTTCAGAAATTAATTTGGTCCTATATTTTATAGAGTTGTTAAATGAAGAAAGGATGAACTGAGATATTAAGTTAAACTTTTTATCTACAGTATCAAGATTTAGTATATCAAAAAAGCTCTTGCAAATGACAAGAGTAGTCTTTTCTCAGGGATGTGGATTCCCTGCCTTTTCCACCATAAAATATGGAATTTTCCTGAGGAAATTATCTTTTTCTTTTTTCAGGTTTTTTCCAAATCCTTTCCAGTTCATAGCAATTTAGTGAATGTTAATGATATTAGTGCCAAACATCAAGAATAACACATGATGGAACCAGCAGTTAGCATAATGGCTATGTTGCTGGCCTCCCATGTAGTCGACCGCGGTTCGAGTCCCAGACCCGGTGGCTTAAAACTCACGCCGGGCGCATGTGCATGCGTGCCCAAGATCCCAAGAGGAGAATGGAGGAGAAGGGATTGCAGCGTGGTCATCACCCCTGGGGGGTGATTTCTCGCTTTCTATCTGTCTCTCTCTGTCCAGCGAATGCACGCGCCCTATAGCAAAAACCTCTTAAAAAAAAATAATAATAACACATGACAAGAAGTCCACCCATTCAAAAGAATAATTCCTTTTTGGACATTTTTTAAGAATTATTTTTTATTTAACTTCACTTAAATTTATTTATTTTATTATTATTATTTATTTATTTATTTAATTTGACCAGAGAAGGACAGGGTAAGAAACAGTGAAAATGAAAAAGCAAGCCTCCAGGTCCAGGCCTTGAACCACAGTCAGCCATGTGGGAATCCAGTACCCTAAACCACCATGCCACCTGCTGGTCCCTCTTTTTTGGATTTTATTGCAATCTCAGATACACCTACGTAAAGCACAAACAGCTCTTAGATTACAGAGAGAATGTCTGACATCTTTAAAAAAAAAAAATGGTAACTACAGTGTTTTAATGAACTTATGCAATCTTGGCATTAGTAGTAGCATACATACGTATAACAAGCCTGAGTATAAGCAGAGAAAAGCAGAGCCCCCAAAAGCTCTCTGTATCACTCGAGGAGAGTACATGTAAGTGCATCTGTAGCAACCTTGAGATGCCAAAACAGGACAGGCAAAGTTGCAAATTTATGTGAAAAATTCTGAAGGGATAGAAAAATAAACCTTGAGAATCTGTAGGCCTTATTTCACTGATACACAGATTTTTGCTATCCAAAAATTCAACCAGTAACCATGAGCACAAGGTTTTGGAGGCTTCTGCCTAAGGGCGAAAGATGTACAAGGTAATAGTCATTCTTTTCCTCCCCTTCTCTCCTTGCTATTTGTTGCCCAGCCCTAGACCATTCTGACTCAACGGAAAAGTTGGCTTTAGGGTTCAGTATCTTCAAGTCTTCTATTCTCTTGAGAAACGTTGGTCCTATGAGAAGGCAGCCAGGAAAGGAGCTGGAAAATGACCAGCACGTTTAAGTAAATACAGAAATGGATGGGCCTGGTGCTGAGAAAGGAGCTGCCCCTGATTCATCCTGACAAATGACTACGACTGGAAGACATGGCTTTCTCAGTGCAAGAGAACATTTTGACCTTCACCCAAGCTTTCTCAGCTGCTGCTCTTCTTTACACACTGTGAAAGAAATAGCTACCAGTTTGTTTTTGTCCTTCTAGACTAAAGAAATACATTTGTGTTTATCATGAAGACAGGCATACCTAGTCCCCAGGGTACCTACTGCTAAAACTGAGATATGTACTCTGTGACCTAATCGCATCCAACTAATATTAACGTGCAAATAATTCTGTTCTTGTTTGAGGCTCCAGTGGTCAGGATCACAAAGAGGCCCTAATAAAAAAGTAAGACCTGCTGGCTAGACCTATAACATGGTGGCATGGTGTTGGGGGGATGGTTTGAAACTCCTTGTTTTATCCTTTGTCATCCTAATGATCAAGAAAAAGAAACATAAAAAGCATCCTCAGCTTTCCATTAATGTACTCTGAATTTGATTTTATGGTAAATCAAGGAATTCCCATGTTAATTGGCTAATGAGTTCATAGATCTTTCTTTTATAACAAATAATTCCAAGTACCTGTAAGTGTGGCCATGACGCCTCAAGGGTAGGTTCATCTTCTTCTGGATCAAATTCGTTGCTGTCACTAGGAGGGAGAGTTCTGAATATATTGCAAGATACCTAAAAATAAACAAGCAGCAGAATTAGCTGGAAGCACCCTCTTGTGGGCAGCTGAAAGGAACCCAGATAAAAGTACAGGCAGCACTCCTAAACGGGGGGGGGGGGGGTCCTCTCTCTACACAGCCTTCGAGGTCAGACCACCTTGAGGCAAAGCTGCAAAGTGGCAAAGCAACCTGTTCCTAGCCCTCTGCTAGTACTCCTTACCCTTACTTGGCTACCCCCACCTTAGGTTCCTGAGAGTTCATACCTTCCATCAAAGACTGTTCTTGGTTACTTACACGTCACACATGCTTCTAATTAACCAATCAACCAATTACTTAAGATATAAATAACTGCTGATGGATGGGTTTCATGTACTCCCCTTCTCAGACTTATTCACAATTTGCAAATTTATGGTTGAACTAATGGTGAAACTTGAGGTATTCACAGAAAATGGATCAGAAAAGATACTTCAGAACCGACATTACTCCCTCCCTCCCTGCCTTTTTTTGGGGGACAGAGAGCACACAAAGAAAGGAGGGAGGGGACACAGAGAAAGGGGGAAGGGTATTTTTGACCAGATTGCATCATGTTGCAATCCTCCTGCCCCAACTTCTCAATCAGCTAGGACCACAGGTGCATACACCTGGCCTGTTGAGGTTGAACCAGGAAGTGAACTCAGGCCTTCAGTGCGGCCATAGCTACCTCACAGTAGCACCCTCCTGCTGGTGCCACGGCAGCTGGCCCAGAAACTTTCTAACAACCTTAATATCACATCTAAGCTGTCCTCCATTCATTTCAGAAGGGTAAGGATGCCCAGAGTAAGACAGATCCATGTCACAAGCCTCTCTAACCTAGGTATTCCTTTATCATAGGCAATAACCAAACTGACTGAGATTTGTTCGAAGACTGGCCATAAGTTGATAATTGCTCAAACTGAGGGATGAAGAGAGGATGACTCATTCTACTATCTACTACTATTACACGTTTTCTAAGTAAAATGCTTATTTTAAAATGTGCTGTTAGCACTATTCTCAGAGTTCCTATTTTATTTCTATTCTGTTTCTTGCCCTATTTACTTGCCTGTCTTCTCCTAATGACCCAAACATACCCTCAGATATCAAGAATAAAGCAGGGAGGTCAGGAGGAGAATGTAAAAGGGGGTTAAAAGAGATAACTGCACCAGAAGCCTTTGCTGGACTTTCTATGAAAAATAGAAAATACTAAACTATAATATGCTGCTCTGAAAGAGGCAAGTAGACAGGTGTGGATGGCCCTATTTAATCTGAATGTTCATCCAACAAATATGTATTAGTGCTATTATGTGCACACACTAGTCTAGGCAGAAATCCACACCTAAGCTTATCTTCTAGTTAGACACAATTATCTCATTTCCTAGCTATGGAAACTGAGTTCAGATGTGTACACGATAGAAATTCTACTTCATATGCAATTTCGAAACCCTTTAGTGGATCCTAAAAAAAGAAGTGACATGTTCTGATGTTTGCTTTAAAAAAAAAAAATCCCTCAGTGGGGATTTACAGAATAGATGGGAAGGGGACAGAGTTCATAGGCTATGAATATGGCAAAGGATTATGTTAGCTAGGACTAGGCAGATGGAAAATGACAAATAACTCATTCAGAGACAGCTCTGTGGCACAGGGGTACGGTGCTATTCAAAAGAAGTAAAATCCGGGACAGGCAGATGGCATAATGGCTACATCGTTGAATCGTTGAACTCACACGTAGTCAACCACAGTTAGAGTCCAGGACCCGGTAGCTTAAACTCACGCCAGGCACACGTGTGTGCGTGCCCAAGATCCCAAGAGGAGAATGGAGGAGAAGGGATTGCGGCGTGACCATCCCCGGGGTGGTGAGGGGGTTATTTCTCGCTTTCTCTCTCTCTATCTCTCTCTTTCAGGCAAGTGCCCAAGACCAAAAACCTCTCCCAAAAAAAAGAACTAAAATTCAACATGACAACCAAGGTTCCAAACCCTGGCCCAGTCAACCCAAAACACACCAGGCCCACACTCAAGTGCCCAAAATACAATGGGCTGGAGAACTGGAGAAAGAGGATTGTAGCATGACTGAACCCTATAGAGGGTGCTCATGTCTCTCTCCCTCCCCCCGCCCCACCCCGTCATTCTCAAGTATGCACACACATGTTCTATCATGGCTTTTAAAAACTAATATAAATAATAAACTGATTTAAAATATATTCTGGAGATATATTTGCTGTTGGCTTGGATGTATGAGGTGACAGAAAGGAAGAAGTCATTGATTTGAGGTTATTTACCCAAGATGGAGATGACTGGAAAAGAAAAAAGATTTCTTTCTTTACTTGCTTGTTTTGGTGGAACAATCCAGAGAGCCAGTTAGAGATGTTTTAACGGAGCAATATCTAGGATGCAATTAGGCACATGAATCTGGACCTCTGAGCTGGATTGGACATGGCTGGAGACATATAAGGACTCATCAGCATATAGATGGTATTTAAAGCCATGGGACTAACAGGTCACCTTGGAAAGGAGTAAACAAAAAAGAAAGAACCCTAGGGCCCCCAACATAGAAATCAGATAGGAAAAGAAGAGCCTAGAAGAGCAAATGAAGAGGAGCTGCAGGTAGAAGGTAATAATCAGTATGAAGTCTTGGGTGTTAAGAGAGAACACTGTTTTAAGGAGGAGGAAGAGGTCATTGTTGCTCAAAGGCTATGACGATCACAGATGTATCTGCCACATCAAGCAGCCCTAAGAAGTATGCACTATTACCATCCCCAAGTTACTACTAAAGAAGCAGAATCAAGGCTGTTAAGTTCTGAGGTTATAGTTAGTAACCAGCAGTTACAACTTAACTCAGGCTGTCAGGTTCTCCATATTGCCCTAGGAGAGTAGGTAGGCCAGTTCTCTGCTCTTTAGCTTAGATGACGGGGGCGGAGGGGGGGGGGATCATACTAGAGGGGCCAGCAGCTGACATGGTGGTTCAAGTCCCTGACCTGGCAGCTTCCTTTCTCACTTTCCCTCCCTCCTCTCTCTCTCCCCCCCTCTGGTCAAATTTAAATAAATAAAGTTAAATAAAATAATTCTTTAAAAAAAAATCACACTAGAATGTTTCGCTATGGCTAGTGACGGCATGTATAGTTCTACTGTTTAATTTTTGTCCCTTCCAATATTTCTAATTTCCAGTTATTAGAAATACGTTTACAAAGAAACAAGTGAGTTTTCAGGTAACCATCAACCTCCACCTTCTCTTTAGCCAGTCAGTCATACTGCAATTCTATGGGCAAAGGGCAAAAGTCCTTTAGTTACTAAATCTTACTTTAAACTACACGTGTATTTCAAAAATTGAGTTAAGTTTTCGCCCCTACTAAGTCATTCATATTTACTATACTCTTCAATAAGTATTTTCCCCCTCTCTTAAGACATAAAAATAAACCATGAAAGGAAAAATAACGGCTTCTCTATAGTAAAATCGGGGTAAAGAGATAGAAACTTCTGCTCCTCCTTGGATATATAAATTCTCAGTGCCCACAACACAAGCTGTAAAAACTATCTGACTATGTATTTGTTTGCCTCTCCCTGAAAATGCAACTAACTGAAAATGCAGTAACTTTGTTTTCCTAGCATACTAGGCATTCAATAGAAATTCAAAAAATAAAAGTTTCAGTACACAAATGAAGCTGTGCATTATGGTTTTGCTATAACCACATTTCAAGCTTTCTGGGTGATTTAAATAAGTCTAGCTTACTTATAAGACTACTTAACCCTGTACAGCGTTTTAACTCTCTGATTTGGTCGAAGTTTCCTTCTAGTTATCATACCGGGCAGAGTATGTAAATAATCCAAACAGTGAGGTAGTGCTAACAACACATAAATCTCCTGTAGCTACACACTGTCATTCCTTCAGGTTCACCTTTTCATGCACTCTTTTATTTACGTCTTAGCTTTTAACCCTCGCCAGATGAGTAATGATGAAGCACCTGTTTGTTGGGCAGTACCATTCAGAGCTGACTTGACGGGTTAAGGTATTCTCTAGCACAGTGGGGGAAAAAAATAGTAAATCATATCAATTGTCACAGAAATGGCTACACCTTTGACCCAGTCTGGCACACAGCACATGCTTAATAAAAATAACATGAATAAATGAATTACTACTTCCAGCCTGAGAATCTACTCTCAGAAGCTAATCTAAGACGAGACTGGAAAAGCTACTTAACTTAAAAGCTGCCATTTGCAACATTCTCCAGAAAGTGTAAACCAGAAATAACCTTTATGTCCAGAAATAGAGAACTATATCAACTCAAAGGAATATTATGCAACATTAAAGATGATAACTGTGGAAGCAGATCAAAAAACTTTATAAATTAAGATTTATGTGGGAAAATGATTGAAAATTGTATTAATTATAAAAATAAGAATGTTGAGGGAACCAGCAGTTAGTATAATGGCTATGTTGCTGGACTCCCATGTAGTCGACCGCGTTTCGTGTCCCAGACCCGGTGGCTTAAAACTCACACCGGGCGCATGTGCATGCGTGCCCAGGATCCCGAGAGGAGAATGGAGGAGAAGGGATTGCAGCGTGACCATTCCCCCTGGGGGGTGATTTCTCGCTTTCTGTCTCTATGTCTCTCTCTCTCTGTCTGATGAGCGCACTCGCCCTATAGTGAAAATCTCTCAAAAAAAGAAGAAGAAGAAAAAGAAGAAGAAGAATGTTGGGACCAGCAGTTAGCATAATGGCTGTGTCGCTGGACTCCCATGTAGTCAACCGCGGTTCTAGTCCTGGACCTGGTGGCTTAAACTCACGCCAGGCGCATGTGAGTGTGTGCCCAAGATCCCCAGAGGAGAACGGAGAAGAAGGGATTGCGGCGTGGCCATTCCCCTGGGGGGGTGATTTCTCGCTTTCTGTCTCTCCGTCTCTCTCTGTCTCTCTGGCGAGCGCATGCGCCCTATAGCAAAAACCTCTCCAAATAAATAAATAAGAATGTTAATGAAAATTAAAACTTGTATTAAAGTCAGAGAAATATG